GGCCCCCCCTGGGAAATCCGCCCCCCGTCTCTTCCTGCCGGCGCTCGGCGGGAGGCGGCGGGGGCTGAGGCGGTTGCTGGGCTGAACGGCCGCCTCGCCCTGGCCGTTCCGGTTCGGTTTAACGTTCGTGCTCTTTCACAAACCGTCTCGTTAATTACCCTGAGCAGACGCTAAGCTCGCAGAATGCCCTCCGCGTGGCTGGCAGCCCTCCTGTCAGCCTTGCCGGTGCTCCCGAGTGAGCTTCCAGGCAAGCTGGGGCCGGTGTTCCATCAACACAGCCCCGGTGCCGGCTTTGTTCTCGGTAGTACAGAAAGTACGTGCGTCACCCTTGGGATGGCTTGTGGCAGCGGGCTGCGTGTCTATAGGTGTCCCAAAGCAGCGGTACTTTCAGGACAAACTGAACAAATTCCGTGGTGAGTGCACCGCTGTAATTCTTACGTGTGCTACTGATTTAACGTCTTGGATGCTCTGTGGGAGCCCAGGGTTTGCAGAGTAAACTCAGAAACTAAGATGGAAGAGTGTGGCTTTTTCTAATTATACTTGCAGAAAACGGAGTCGTTGGCATTTGATGATTAACCACATCACCGCTGTGAAAAGTTGCTGAGCGTTAACTGAAAACTAAACTGTGTGTCCCAGTTAGGTCTAACTGATAACAGAATCACCTTGTGTTGTAAGGAGACAACCCAAAGGGCTTAGGGACAACTTTGACAAGCAGATTGATGGCTATGATTAGTTTCAGCGAGCTACTGCGACCAAGATTGTAGGGGGGAGAAAAAAAAAAAAAGTCTAGTTTGTTGTATTGCTGTGCTGGAGAATATGAATTTTTGTGGATCAAGTCATTCTAGTTACCAGAGTAAGCTGTCACCTTCAAATTAGTAGTGTTCAAGACGGTGGCTTGGCTGGTGGTAGCAATGTAGCCATGAAGCCCAATTAACTAAAGAAATCCTGAGGTAGACAACAAATGGTATTATATTTTCATGTTTCTGCTAAAATGCAAACAATGTGATAATAAAACAAATTTAAGGTTCACTTCCATTTTACGTTAAGAACTAAAATTCCAGTCACGGAGAGAAGCCGAAGTGAAAAAAAACAAAGCTGAAGTGTATTTTACAATGTCTAAATGTTATATGTAAACATATTTTTGAAAAGCAATTGCTTCTTGTGTCAAGGTTTGAGGGTGTGCAGAACATCTGAAAATTGACACAGGCACTTCAGAGAACATTGCCAAGTTGTCAAGGGTATGTAGACTTTTAAATTGTCATGTTACAGTCATATTTAAGGTAAATACAATCACGTGCTTTCAACAGGACACTCAATGGATAGAAGTAAAAAAAAAATCCTTGCTAAGTCTGATTTTTTTGACTATTGCATTTAAGCTAGGCATTTCGATAGTAAAGCAACATGAAGTCTTAGATCATGATTGTAAGGTAAATATGATTGGATAAATTTCTCTCCCTTCTTTTCCATTATGGCTGGATATGCGTTGATCTGTAGGGACGGGAAATACATCAGAGTTCCATGAGTCCAAAAATGTAAGCGACTCCTTGTGCCTATGTTATTGCTGTAGGTATATACAGAATTTTTGTATACTATTGTTGCTTAGCAGCTCAGCCACGTACTCCTAGTAAGTTGCAGTAGGAGCCAAAACCTAGATGTTCCCACCTAATGTACTGGACGAAAATCCATAGGTGAGCTGGCAGCATGACTGATGCCCCCCTACGCAATCAGACTGCATATATAAAGTAGTAGTAGCCCTTTATATCTGGAAACAAGTTGGCAGGTGCTGGCATTCCACCCTTTCTCATTTTGAGATACTCGAGATTAGAAAGGGGTTGGTTGGTTTGTTTTAGTGTGTGGGTTCAGACTTGTCTCATCCCCCTCACATGAAGCTCTCTCAAGTCAGACCGGTGGGCTTCTGTGAGGACAGGAGGGACGGAGTTCTTGACTTGTGAGAGTATGGTCAGACAGCTGGGGTGCGTGGGTTAGAATGGGGAAACTTGGGTTCTGTTCTCTGATCCTCACATGTATTTTATCAAGTGTTATAATGCAGAAATTCTGAGAGTGAGTTTATCATTCTAAAGGCAGCTCAATTTGGGGGAAAAGAGAAAAAAAAAAAAGATTTAAATCAAAAAAGGCTTTACAGTTGCAGCAACAAAGCATAGATGAAGCATTTTACAGACTGGCATTTGGGCTCTGAACACCAGTGAGGGATGCAGCGCAAGGCGCTGCTATTACCTGTACACTTAGCTGAGCTCTGTCGGTAGCCACCAGATGTTACTCACAAACAGCTGTAAATGCAGGTCTGGGAGACAGGACATCCAGAAGCTGGGTGCAGTGACTAAGCTCTTTTAAAAACGTTATCGGGGGAGGAAGCAGAGGTAGTTATTTACACCCACCTCCTAGACAAGAGCATACTTGTTAAGTGTGTGTGTGTACATACATATGTAGCTGCCTGTGAACTCAGTGTATTGGAATTGACTAGGATGTGTTTTTATGCCCCTTAAATACATATTTATGTGCAGTTCGAATCGCCCTTTCCTGGACCTGGATACTGCAGCCATTATTATCTCTGGACTGTGCTGTTCTCATACAGGTACAAGGACTGAACAGGAAAATGTAGCTTTTCCATTGATTTCCGTTATAAGCTCTCTTGAATTCAAATGTGGAAGACTTCCAACAGCTTAAGTGTACTAGAATTACAGGGGGTTGTGTTGGTGGTTCTCTACCATTTTCTCACTGTTTCAAAGGGTATAAACAGCCATTTATCTTGGGTCTATCATGGTTGTGGTTCTTTTGGGTGGAAAATGGGAATCAGCCTTGTAAATGTCTCTTTTTGCCCTGTTATTAAAGGATGAAAGTGTTCTGGATTTCCTGAATTTTTATTTATTTATTTATTTAGAATGGATAAGAAACATTGACAGACCATATTAAAATGTGATGAAAATTGAGGAATATCCAAAACATTAATTGTGCAGGAAAGAGGTCTTTGGCTGCTGCTGTGAAATGCGTAATTGTAGTTAAAAAGCCAGATAGACTTTTAATGCATGACTAGGAATGAAGAACCTAAAGAAAGTAGATTATTGTTGCATACATCTTCAGTGCTGTGTGCAGTTCTGGTAGCCCCATCTCACAAAAACTAATAAAATCTCCAGAGAAGGATAGCAAAGAGGACCAGAGTTACGGGATGCCTTTTGTACAAGAAGTGGCCAAGCAGAGTAGGGTAAATATGGGACAGCATATGAAGGCTACAAAGTCATAAATGGTTTGGAGAATACGTGTGTGCAATAGTTACGTTATTTCTACACTGCAGAAATGTAAATCAGCTGAGGAGGGCATCAGCAGCCTGAAAAGCCTTTGGTGGTGGATAACCTGGATACAGCCTTGTAGATCAGGGGTGGTTGGTAAGGGCTCGCGCTGTATGGGTCTGACATACTCAGCTGCTGGCCGATCCCTGGGGACAGAACTCTGGGTCAGGTGGGTTCCTGCTGCGGACCCCAAAGTCAGGTCTTCACTTTTCAAAGTCCTGGTTTTGTTATTTTGTCAAGAGTTGAAGACAGATACCTCTGTCCCTTTAGTTAACCTATCCATTGAAGGTAACCTGGAAATACGGATGCAGAAAAAAACCCATTTGTGTTGGCAGTTGCTGTACAGGAAAGCTCTTGGATAGCATTGAAGCTGATAGCAGTGGTCAAAACCATAGTTCTGTTTCAATATACATCAATTTCATGCTCCTCAGAATGTAGTCAATTATGTTTTTGAAAGTGAAATCTTTGGATCTTTTGCAACCTTAGCGTATATGAGTTTTGTTCTTGCTGTAGAACTTCTCCGCAAAGGGAAGAACTAGCTCAGGATATGGAGGTTTAAGTTCTTTCTACAGGAAATGCTTGTTTAAGATTACTTTAGCAGGGGGGGAAAAAACCAAAACACCAAGTTAGCCTTGAACAAATGAGATGCTTTGTTTGTTGAGAGCAGTGGCGGTCTGTCTGCCTGCCGTAGCTGAACAGAGCTGTTCAGGACTGCTGCAGCAGTGCTATTTCTAGATCAGCATAAACTCACTGTGTTGTTCAGCAGAGGAAGCAAAGATTATGTGAGCCTCTCTCTCTCTCTGCCAGCTAATAGCTTCTGAAGCTGACTCGTTTCAGCGAGGCTCCTTACGGTGTAGGTCTCATCTGTCAGAAATCTGGCAGCAGAGCAGATACTAATAAAAGTGCTGAGGGAAGGGCTGCAGCTCAATAGATATCGAAGAAATCGCAGGAAGAGAGACCTTGAAGAAGATCCAGAGGAAAACAGGCTTCGGTTGTTCCCTGAACTGAAGCTGCATGTTTGTTTTAGGTAACCTTGATACAGATATTAGGACCGATCATAAATCGTTCTAATTCTTGACAATGCGTTTCACTGCAGGCATAAATCAGGGCCAACTGTTTGCAGTAGTCTTTCAGAAAACCGCATAGGCATTGTAGTTCAAATGATACTGCTGTTAATGGTTTGTTGCCATAACTTGGTCTTTGTTGCACCAATCTGAGTGTAAATTCTAAATAGGAAATTCATAGTAAGTGTAGAAATACATAGTCTATAGGCAGACTTTTTTTTTTTTTTTTTTTGAGCTACACTATTAAATACAGATAATGCTGTATAAGCCAAACTAACACGGATCACCTTTCTTCCCCATCTACTGGTATTTTACTATTCCTGGAAAAACAGTATTAGCGTCTTCATCTTCCTTATTTTAGGAGAGTTCTTGGGCATGAAGTGATTTTTCTTTTTTTTAAATTTTTTTTTTTTAAATCTTCTGACAGATGCCTAAAAATGGGCAGCAAAGCAAGTTTTCTTGTGCAAAACTCTTTTATTAAAAATCTAGGTAAACTTTTAAAAATTTAACCTCTCTGGAAAGCACGTAAAAGCTGAGCTCTGCATGTTGTATTGTGTGTGTGTTTGGAAACATCGTGTTGTCTGGAGTATCTGCAGTTTGTGTTTTGGTGTGCGTTCTTCCCCCTCCCCCCCAGCACTAATGGCCTATCTCGGTGTTAAATCTGTTTGAGGCTGAAATGGAGCATACAGGCAGAGTCACAAAATCATTTACGTTGGGAGGGACCTCTTGAGATCATCAAATAGGTCTGAATGGGCTTTTGGAGTTGAGGTGTAATATGATTGCAAAATAAATGCCACGTCAACCTTCTGGCTTATTAATCAATTTTCTTTACTCTCCCATTGTAAATTAATGAGTTCTTTTCTGTTACAGATTGACTATACAGGAACAGAGCCTTCTAGTCCCTGCAACAAATGTTTAAATGTGTCTTGGGACAGCAAGGTACCTTGTAGCTGCACCATCAACTTCACACTGGAACATTCATTTGAGGTATGCTACCGTGTGTGCAAAGTGAAATTAGAACAGGTTATATGGTTTATTTCATTATCGGTAGGAAAGCTGTTTCCCCCCTTCTATTTTAAAGGATTATTTATACTTTTCCTGTGAACTTGGATCTCACTTTTTGTGCCTTTTCAGTAGCAGGGGTCAGATGGTTCTTAATGCCTCTGTTTATCTGGAAATGTCCGACATTAAATGGAATGCTTGTGTTTTACACGTTTAGATTTACCATATGTGTCATATAGCTGGCGAGTAGATCAGCTGTTCCTGCATGATTTAAAAAAAAACCCCACCCTCAGTTCAACTAGAATTAGAAATACCAGGTAAATGCTTTCTGACAAACTGGAGGCAAATAATGAGGCTTATGTGCTTAACATCAGGCAAGATAGTTGTTGGAGTTAGTGCTGGTGAATGTTATTCTGATAGTTTATAGGATGTTGATACCGTTTGAATTAAGGGTGCCAGCTTAGGACAGCACCCTGCGTACTCAGTGTGAAGGCAGGACTGAGGCTTCTGCTTTATGAACGTTGCTGTAAAGCAAAACTCTGTGTTTAGAGGTTAAAATTTAAGCTTTATGAGAATTAGTGTGTTCATGTGCTTTATTGATCTGTTCTTTGTGTGAATGAAAACCCTTCTTGCCCCATCTTGCTTCTTGTAGAGCAATGTATTCATGTATTATGGACTTTCCAACTTCTATCAAAACCATCGTCGTTATGTGAAATCCCGAGATGACAGCCAGCTAAATGGAGATAACAGTTCGTTACTTGTAGGTATTTATGCCGGGATATTAATAAGCAACTAACTTCTGACTGTTGCATAAATCACCGCATGGCAGAGTATTTAGTTTAATGAAAATGACATACTAGAATTTTTGCATAACAGAAAACAACCACAAGGAATGCATATTTTGTTTACAGAAAATAACTGTAAAATTTCACGTCAGTAACGCAATACTTCAATCGCTTCTCAAATTTGAGTAGTTTCAAACTGTATTTTTATCTTCAGTCAGTAGTATCTATCTGTATCCATTCTGTCTGAAGTATTTGTTTTCAGTATAAAATAATATTTGGTTACCTAGCACTTGGTTTGGAAATTGCAGCTAAATGCATTAATTTTTGTAGACTCTGGTTCAATACTGAACCAGTGATACTGGAAAATATCAGTACTGTGTATTCTGTTCAAGTAACTGTGTAATGTTTAGGGCCATACCTCTCCTCTTCCTAATTTTTATGAGGAGTGGAAATACAGTTGGGTTCTTGCTCCAGTAAGTATGATTCTCCCTTTTACCTGTAAACTTCAAAAAAGGGGAGGGTTTCAGGAGGCTACATTGGATGACTGACACAGGGTTGGAGGGGCGAGAGCTCTTTCTGCTTGCATTTTCACATGCTGTTGGGAGCCCTTGCAACCTTTTGCATTTTGTTACATTTGGTTTCTTATTAAAGTCTTATTTTCTATAGCACTGATGCATACTTTAAAAAACCCAACCCTTTAATAGAAGAATACTTGAATACTTCATGTTGGAACTCTGTTTCTATTAAAAAATAAAAGAAAAAAGTTCTAATAGTTTCCAAGAAAAGCCTTATTTTTAGTATGACCATGAAAAGAAAAGTCAGTCATGCTAACTAGTATTGAATGCTGAAGTATTTGTAAATAACCTGATTTGTGCAAAGATTGTTTTGTGGTGCATTTGAGATGTGCACATTACTGAGATGCTGTAGTAAAAAACAGGGTAGGATAAATGAGCACAGACTCATCTACCTTTTTTCTTTCTGACTATCAGAATCCAAGTAAGGAATGTGAGCCTTACCGCACGAATGAGGACAAACCCATTGCTCCTTGTGGAGCTATTGCCAACAGTATGTTTAATGGTACGGTAACACAATTTTAAGTTATCACTTAGATGTTTTTGTTATCTTAGTGTATCTTTTGTGCTGTGTTGCAAATTGTTCTGGATAAAGACATCATGGGCTTTTCTGTTTTGAAATAACGTATTTTTATTGTTCCGAATAAAATAAATATCTTGTGTTGTACTGCTGTTGCTTTTCTCAAAATTGCTATCAGAATTAATTTGATCTGACAGAGTACAAAGAATGGAAGTTCCTGTTGTGAGAAGCTGTTACTGCTGTGGAGTAGACATACAGATATCGTATATGGATAATACGCTGCAATCTAGTATACATTGATTCTTAGAGAACAGCTTGTGATTGTGGCAGGCGGGTAATAAATGCCTTGTCTAGTTATTTTGTTTGTTTTTTTTTCTCCTGGGGTAATTGTTTCACTGCCTATCAGGATCATCTGTCTAAGGAAAGTTTCTTAAGCTGGTTTTCTAATTTGATTTTCTCCTTAGATACATTGAAATTATACCACATTGATAATGACACAAGAACTGCTATTCCTTTGATTAAAAAAGGCATTGCGTGGTGGACAGATAAAAATGTGAAGTTCAGGAATCCTACAGGAGGTGGAAATAACTTAACTGTGCTTTTCCAAGGTAAAAAAAAATGCAAAATCTTAAGAACGAAACATTTCAAAGACACTTTGATTCCAGTGAGTGTTGCCTCATTGACAATATTTTAGTGAACATGCTAATTAAAAATATTGTGGTTTTCCGAAGAAGTCCAAGCTAAGGGCTACTCTGCTATCTAAAAAGGTTGTCTTTAAAGAATGAACCCCGCAAATTTCATGTGAAAGTGTTTGGGTTTTAAGTTTACTGTAATCATTAACTGTAATTTTTTTTTTCCTACTTTGAATACCAAGAAAAACCTAATATGTGCACTGCTGTTGTGGTTTAACCCTGGCTGGCAATTAAGCACCACACAGCCACTCACTAACACCCTGTCCCCCTCAGTGGGACGGAGCGGGGAGAATCGGAAGGGTAAAACTGAGGAAGCTTGTGGGTTGAGATAAAGGCAGTTTAACAATTTTAAAAAGTTGTAAGAAAAAACCCATCAAACAGAGAATAAAACCCAAGAGGTGCAAAAGAAAACAATTGCTCACTACCCACTGATCAATGCCCAGACAGTCCCTGAGCAATGGCAGCCCCTGCCAACCTCCATCTGCCCAGTTTTATTGTTGAGCATGATGTCATATGGTATGGAATATCCCTTTGGGCAGTTGGGGTCAGCTGTCCCAGCTGGGCACCCCCAGCCTACTGGCTGAGGAGCAGAATAGGCCTTGAGGCTGTGTAAGCGCTGTTCAACAATAAATAAAACATCAGTGTGTTATCAACATTGTTTTCATCACAAATCCAAAAGGTAGCAGGATACAAGCTACTATGAAGAAATTTAACTCTGTCCCAGCCAAAAACCGTACAACTGCTGTGATGCTTGGATTTAACTTGAAAAGAAACTCCAGAATTGTTTAATCAAACTCTTCATATTTATTTGAATGTTTCTGCTGGTAGAACGTGCAAAGTTTTTAGAAATCCTGATTCTTTTTTGTGCTTACAAGTGACTGATTTATCTTATTTGTTAGGTTAAGTACAATTTGGTAAATCAAAGTGTTCTTTGGCTACCGATGTCTGAGAATAATCTTCCTCAGGGCTCTAAGGGGGGTGTGTGTGTTTATGCAAGGTATATAATAATTTCAGGTTTAACCTGATGTGGGTTTCTTGCTTAGTCACAGCCAAATTACATGTTACCAATGTGTTGCTACCCTTGGAAAAACAGATACCTTACAATTCTACACTGTAAGATAAGGTATTTCCAACAAAATTAGCAAAAGCATTAGTATGGCATCATCTAAAACGTTGTACGTGATTTTATTTGCTTGTGGTCCAGTAAGTGGTAGTCAGACTCTTTAACAAGTGAGCAGAGGAGCTATTACCATAATGGAGAACTGTCTCACTAAGGTAATGTTTTGAGATGAGACTTCCTAGCTATCTAAATGTGTAGGGAGGCAAAGTTGTTTAAACAAATGAACAGTGCTGTCATGAGAATAAATGGATATGCACCACTATTCAATCTGGAAAAGAAAAAGTTCCTGAACAGCCCAGTGTCTTGCAATAGTAGTGTGCCAGCCTGTCTGTTCATACTGTTCAGAAGTTAGTGTGTTTTTTTGTAATATTAGAATGAATTTTGATGGGCCACTGTGTTATAGTCCTGTATTTGAAATACTTTATTATTTTTGTATAATCCTAGGCACAACAAAACCTGTAAACTGGCCTGAGCCAGTGTACATGCTGGATTCGGATCCTGACAACAATGGCTTTATCAATGAAGACTTCATCGTGTGGATGCGTACTGCTGCTCTGCCAACGTTTCGCAAGCTGTATCGTCTCATTGAAAGGAAGAATAATTTACAACCTACCTTGCGGGCTGGAAAATATTCTTTGGAAATCACATACAGTATCCTTTGAAAAACCTTTGAAAGTAGCTAAGGACCTTAGCTGGGTTGCATGGGTGTGTATTTGTGCAAGTTAAAATTAAGCTAGCCTTTTTTCTTACCATCTCTAAAAAAAGATGGTATTGAGCTGTGGTTGGAAACTGGTAGTGAGAACTGGGTAGAATGCTTACCTTCTCATACGTCTGTGCAAGTTTTATAGAATTAACTTGTGTGTGGCCTGTTAGAACTTGAAAACCCGTCTGGTTTTTAAGCTTCATAAGTGAAATGACTGGGTTAGTCTTACACTCTTTAATGTAAGTAGAATTTTAATCATAGCATTTTTAACCTATTTTGTAGTTCATACAAAACTGAATTAATATAAAACTACATTTTTTTTTTTTAACCAGGATGAAAACCTTAGTTCAGTTTAAAAAAAAAAAAAAAAAAAATCAACTCTGTAGTGAAGAGTCACAACTCTTGTGAGGAGATAGCGGGGATGTTAATCCTAGGGAAGATTCCAGTGTAGAATTTACCTAGTAGGCATATTTTGGAGGACACTAGTGTCTTCTCTGTATGCCTAACTTGAATTCTTGCAGGTGTATGGTCAGTCTCACTCACTTTTCTCCCACATCTTGTTAATGTTTATGGATACTTGCGGTCCCCAATAGCTGTGTCATGTGGGATCGAGGCTTAAGACTATGGATGGGAGCATTTTCATCTGATAATTTTTGGGCAGACTACCTGCATTTTGGCTGACAGGAAGATGCTTAAGCGTAGTTCAGGTGATGCTTAGCCTTCAGGTGAGCTGATAAGCCTTCTTGAAATCTGTTAAATGGCATAAATAATAGCTATCCAGGTTCTGCTTTCTGCAAAATAGTATATATGGGCACACTTTATTTACCCTTAGGTTGACAATGTGGCCAATTTGTAGTGTGCATTTTTACTTATGAGCGTATGCACTACTGATTCTTTGATGCCTTCCTGTGCTTTCCTATGGCATCTTAATTACTGCTTTGACACTGAAGGGTATTGAGTATCTGGGAGAGACATTTCTCATGGGTGCGGGAATTAACATCCATTCAGGAGGTGATGACCTGCACTGGGTCCTCTTGTGGCTCCACGTATTGTTGTGAGGTTATTCTCTACTTGTAGACTTGCTCCAGAGCAGCCGGCTCTGCTGTGCAATTGCTCCAATCTGTGTATAAAATTAAATTTGTAGCTTCATAGTGAGAGGGGAATCACATTGCTTGGGTGGTGTAAAGGAATTGAGAGAAGCATAGGAAGAAGGAAAGAACAGAGGTAGTTGGTGGCCTGGAAATTGGAGAACTTTAACTTCAGGGTGTAATGACAATATGCAATCAATGGCAGACTGACTTTGGAGGTCAGAAAAATGCTGTAGCTGTGGATCAGGCGGGGAAGTCTGTCATTCTATTTTGGACAAACTAAAGACTAGGTAGAAGTGCAGGACACTAGAGGAGGAGGGTTGTCATAGTTACCAAATTTTTAAAATCCAAAAGCACTTGATGATCATTTTTAAATAGCTACTGCAGTATTTTCCTTTTGCTGCAAAAATGTGGGGTGTGCATATAAAACTGAACGAGCATAAAGTCACTAAGAAAAACTTTGTACTAAAATATACTCAAAAACTAAAATGCAGATTTCCTTCATTTTATTGAAGCTGCTTTCAAAAATCCGCTAAATCATGTGTTTACTCTTCCCTTAAAAAGGGGTTAACATCTCCCAACGTGGCTATTTGCACTTTCGGTACTCAAAGGTGGTAGTTTCTGTTTGGGACCTGAGTGAAATGATCCAGAATTTTAATGAGCCTGACCACATAAAGCTAGATTTGGAAACCTGCTTCTTGTTTTCCTATATATTTTTTCAGATTATCCTGTACACAGTTTTGATGGACGGAAAAGAATGATCCTAAGCACCATCTCGTGGATGGGAGGCAAAAATCCCTTTCTGGGAATTGCTTACATCACTGTTGGGTCTATATGTTTCTTCTTAGGCGTTGTATTGCTAATCATCCATCACAAATACGGAAATCGAAACACTAGTGCAGACATTCCCAATTAATCTTGCATTCTGAAAACAAACATACTGCATGTGCATCAAGGCCAGTCCAGAATGGACCCAGTTTTTGAAAGACAAATCTCTGCTTCTGTCACTTCTGGGACTGGGTACATAATTTTTATCTAAAGCTCCCCTTTCCCATACTGTGGATTAAGTCTTGAAAATGACGGGTATACAATTACATATATCGATTGTATCTCTGCCTATGTCAGAAATGATTTTTCTGATATTTGCCTCTAACCAGGCAGGCCACATGATGCACATATCTCTTGTTCCCTTGATGCATCTGCTGCTTGTTCATGTGCTGTGTAATGTTGGTATGATTCAGTACATACAGATTGTGTGGAGAAAGACTGTTAAAAGATACTGTAAATTGTTAACTTTCCGGAATTCAGGTGTCAGTGCTGTTGAAAGGAAAAGTCAAGTCTTAAATGTTTTTTCAATTTACTGTCTTGTGTGCATGGGCTCTTATATTTCTTGCTGAGATTTTAATATATTTATATAAGTTGTTAAATATTTTTCCTGTGTCCTACCCACCTCTGTTACGTTAAGTCCTTTAAGTGCTGTGTAAATTTCAGCACTCTGGATTCTTTGTATATTTACAATATATGTGCCTGGCCAGTAAACTAGCATCCTACGAAGATACCAGAAAACCTATTGGTTAATTATCTGTGTGAGACCCTTTTAAAATTTCTTCTAAATTGAGAAATGTTCGTTGCAGGTAGAATCTGCTTTTTTTCTAATTTTCTTTGCTTTAAGTCATATCCAATACCAGTTTACCCATCGTCCTTACTGGTTTTACTTTTTATGAGCAGCTCCAAGCGATAAACAAGAAGGACCTAAAATGCTTTTTCCATTCACAAATTGGGTGAATTCCTTTTACTGGAGGCGTTTCCTAATTTTTTTGAGGTATATGTATTCTGAGCAGGCTTTGTTGTAAAGGAATTGTCATATTCTTTTCTCCTTACTTGGAGTAAATACCACAGTAAATTTTTTGTGGTGTTAAGATGGTAAACTCTAGAAATCCAGAAGTTGAGATGAGAGTAACCTCTTTTCATTGAAATGCAGGTTGAGCTTGCTGTGAAACCTAATTTAAATATTGCAATTAGAAGCAATGTGAGGGTGTCTTAAATTACAGAAGGGTTCACTTTTAGTTTAATTCAAAGTTAACTGTAACCTGTAAAATATTACTTTTTGGTGACTTTTTTTTTAGATGATGCACAGAAATTGTAATGTATATGGTGGAGATCACTATATGCAACTAGCTTGATAAAGTATTGAGTATATTAAATAAGACCTAATAAATTCTGCAGATGATTTAATAAGAGATTTTATTTTGTTCTTGAACATGCATTTATTTTCATCTGGATGAAAAGACATATTAAGTGCAAATGCAGTTTAAGGGAGTTGTATTTCTGGGATTGCATATTTGTTACAAGAAGTTGTTTATTCACGGTCCAATAGCTTAATCTATAGCCAGCTTTAAACAACACAATTAATTTGTCACATAAAACACGTGACCCTTTTTACTGAATTAGTTGTGTAATCTTTTTAAGCTAGCAGTTTAAGTGTATAAATCTGTATAAACTGTGGAATGAGGCAATGTTTCCAGTGTGCTAGCTTTCTGTAACTCCATGTAATAATTTGTTTACGCAGTACAGTGTGGCAGCACAGGACTTGAAATAGTCAAAATACGTTAAGATTTTATTTAGTGTTGTATTTATATTGCTGGAATTATAGAATAAGCTACGTACCTTTGTATATTGCAAGGCAGGAAACTCGCACAAAATGTTAAACTGGCTTTCATCTGTAGAGTAGCTGCTAGTCCAAAATGTAGTAAGGGGACCTCTCCCAATTACTGGTTATTAAAATATTTTGATTTTTAAACTTTGTGTTTGTCACTTGAAATGCAAATATATTCTGCTTCATTCAAAATCTCTATCTTTTTCCAAGTAGGAAATGCTGCTTTTTGGGCTGTGTTCAGAATTAAAACCAAAGTATTTTTCTGTCTTTACCTTAAAATATTGTCCAATGCCTTACCTTTTTTCTACTGACTATCGCTGTCTGTGCTCCTTTCAGCTTTTTAATGAAGTGCACCAGGATCAGAATTGCTGTCTGTTTCTTGTTACAATTAAGCTTTTTCTCGGAGAGCCTGTAGCAGTAAATACTTGTCAGGCAGTGTGCCTGAGGAGCTTAAAATGCTTGTAAGAGCTTAAAATATTAGGTCAGACTTGTCAACTCTTCCTTCGCTCATGCTCATTTGTCTTGATGTTGCGTTGATAACTGTGGAGATGCTTGGATTTTGTATTTCTTACAAGCTGCCCATGTGCCACGTGTTCAAAGGTGAAACCACGGTGTCCCTGTCTGGCACTCCTCAGGGCAGTGTCACTGTCCTGGCATTCAGTGCTGAATTTGGATTTGACCACCTCATTCTTGAGTGGCATCCTCCAGAGGTATTTGCTACCAGGGTTCAGAAATACAGAGAGCAATGCTTCTGGTTTCTGAGTGCCAGTCAGGCACTTTCTGAGTCTTACCCGACTGAGGCAGTGCCCAAAGTGTGACAGATTATAAGCTTTCTGGAGGCTGCTGCTGTTACAAGGGTCTGCCTATGAATGAATCTTCCCTGGATAAAGTAGTTTGGGAAACAAGGATATGCCCTTGTCGTATGCAAGAGCTCTCCAAACAAATTTGCTTGTGTGAGACCAACTTCCTTCTGGTTTCTTGCAAAAATCTACATCCTGTAACAAAGCAGATTGTCACCTCAGGATTTTTTTTTTTTAAACTGCATCAGGCTATTTGGGGAGCTGTCGATTGTGCTTTGCTGAGTCAGAGGGAAGAGTTAGCAGCTTATAGCGAATGTGAAGGATCGTCCATAGCCTTTTCCTCCCAAGGTCCTGCTGGTACTGAAACTAGGTTCTCAGCAGCATGGTTTAATTACGAATGTTACACCTTGAAGAATGCAAGTCTTGCCTTTTTTTATAGAAATCTCTGTGGGAGGAAAGGCCATGACAATCTAGGGTCAAGTAACATCTGCAAGCGTGTATTATCTGCTTGAATACATCAAACAGAGCAATGAATGTGGCTGGTGTTTGGGTTGGATTCGCAGGAGGTGTTTGCAACTCCACCCTTCTCTCAGATGCCCTACTTGCAGTGGGAAAATAAGGGTTATGTCTGTAGACAGACAGATGTCCACAACTGAGTTGAAGTGAGTGGTGGAAAAATGACTAAGCCTACAGCAGAATTTACCTACAGTTACTTTAAAAAAAAAAAAACCAAAAAAAAACCCCAAACAAACAAAAACAAAACCAAACAAAAAACCCTGCTGAAGACAAAGAATGAGGCATAAACATAGAGTAGTCTGGAAGCACTGTAAATTATTCTGATCTTCAGAATTCCCGTTACAAGAATAAGGTTTCTGATCTTGCCTGAAAATTTGTGATCTATCCTTGTACTACCTAAGTTTTGTTTTTTGTAGAAGTTGGATATTTGTGTTACCTGGGCTTGTTTCCTGTAACTGAACTAACTAGTGAGTTAGAAATGAAGAGGGCAACAACACAAAGGCCTTCAGGAAAGTCTGCAGTATCAATCTTAAAATCAAGCCAGTCCCATGTGGGTTTTGTATTGACCTAGTCAGTGAGTTTAAAAAAAAGAAAAAAAAAAAAGCCCCACAAAAAACCTAACACCCCAAAATGTTCCACATATTGAATACTTGTCTGTATTGAACAGCCTGACAAAAATTCTCAAAGTAGGAGAGAAAATGTGAAAATCTAAGCCAATTTTGCTCCTGCTCTCTTCTTAGCAAACATCACTTACAGAAGAGGCTGTTTCTAGCAGCTTGAAAATGGACTCTGGGGTAGAAAGCCCAGTTGCAAAAAGTTCTTTTGTAGTAGTAAATTTTCCTCAGATTGGTAGAAGTTACCGGAACATGTTCAAAGGAGAGCAACAAAGCTGGTGAGGGGTCTGGAGCACAAGTCTTGTGAGGAGCAGCTGAGGGAACTGGGGTTGTTTAGCCTGGAGAAGAGGAGCCTGAGGGGAGACCTTATCCCCCTCTACAACTGCCTGACAGGAGGCTGTAGCGAGGTGGGGGTCGGCCTCTTCTCCCTGGTAACGGGTGATAGGACAAGGGGAAATGGTCTGAAGTTGCTCCAGGGCAGGTTTAGATTGGACATTAGGAAAAATTTCTTCACAGAAAGGGTTGTCAGGCACTGGAACGGGCTGCCCAGTGAAGTGGTGGAGTCCCCATCCCTGGAGGTATTTAAAGATGGGTAGATGAGGTGCTTAGGGACGTGGTTTAGTGGTGGGATGGCAGGGTTAGGTTAACAGTCGGACTTTATGATCTTAAACGTCTTTCCCAACCTAAACATTTCTATGTTTCTAAGTATTTTCATGGCAAAATACTCTGTGTTCTAGCTCATGGAATCTGTTGTGATCATCAAATTGCCTTCTATGCCTAAATGTGAAGTCTAACCTTACTTGACGGTTTCAATTAAGACTAAAGTCCATTATGAAATGGCCTGATAAGAATTAGCAGGTCATTATATGACGCGAGTCACAGATAAGAAACTACCTTCCTGTAAGCCTCCCACTCCAAAAGTGTTCAACCTGTGTTTGAAAATAAAGTAACACTGTCCATCGTTTGAGTTATGCCAACTGCTGCTAGAAAAGTCTGAAGTTGGAAAATTATCTTTCTCATTTCCTGCTGGGAATGAAATTAAGAGGAATAAAAGCTTAAGTCAATAATTAATGAAGCTCAAGAAGTTTAAAAAAAAAAAAAAAAGAATTGGAAGTAAGTAGGTGACGTTCGTTCTCACCAGACTCTGATTTCAGCTAAAGATGACCTAAAAGAAATGATGCAAGCGAACTGAATACCAGAGTTATGTAGAAGTTTAATTGAATTTTTACCTGAGCAAGTAGGTTGTGCTCAAATTTTGCAAAATGAAATGTTGAGATGCTTTTTAGTAGTATTAGAGGGCCAGGAATGTAATCAATGACCTCATTAATTCTGTTATGAAAATGGGAAAGATTGGACTGTGATATTCTTGAAAGAAATGCAAGTACAATCGCCTCCAGGCTTGCCTGCTGAGGTCTGGAGTTGAATGTTAATTGTGTGATCTTTTTAACGGGGTTGACATACCTTTCTACCACTGGTTTAAGAGGTGAAACATTTTTTCTGATGAATGCTTATTACCATAGAGATTAACAGGCCTTTTTTCATTCTGGCTTCAACAAAACTGTTCAACAATGAGTTTTGATTCCATTTAATTCCATTATTCTTCAAGGCAATGCATGCAGAAAATTACTCTATCCTTTCAGGAAAAAGCACTCCGAGTTTGCTTCTAGTGAAACATACTCACCCCGAGGTGGCAAGAAAAAAACTCAAGTTTTTGTTTCTTCGTAAATTAGTCAACACCGAAGACACCAGCTGTGCTTGCTCTGAGCAGTCATCTTGCAGCTTTGATTGGTACGTAACCCACATGCCAAACCCACAGGCTTTAAGTATGGCCTTTCTGTTGGCAAGTGTATTTTGACAGACAATGCCACTGAAGCTCAGATTTAGACATACCAGGAAATAGTCCCCACAGCAGAAATTAAGCAATAATAATTCCTTTGGGGATTACGATCCTTTTACCAGTATCTAAAGACAATTGAGCGTATAAATAATCAGAATACAAATATTATATGCACTTGTAAGGTGAAAGATTGCAAGAGGAAGGAATGGAAATCTATCTTGCAGTAGTAGTAATGTATTCCAAGTGTTATTCTACAATAGTGCTGCTTGAGTGTTTGAAAACTTTGTTAGATAATGCATCTGATTTCCCCCTTTGTTACAACACATCACATTTCTCCCTGACTATGCTTTCCGAATGGTATTTTTAATATTCTACTCAGCTAAGACTATATCTATAAATACTTCTTCACCTTTGCATTTTTAGTTTCTTTCTGGGGCAGCTCATCGGATTGAGAAGTGCTGTGCTTTGAGATAAGATCCTTGTTATTTCCATACTAGATTGAGCACTAATTTGCTGTGTTTGACACACCTTATTCATCATGAGGTTTGGCACCAGTGCAAAAGCAGCGTCACTGCCAAAGACTGCGTGTGCTGCCACTGCAGCAAAGCCAGGAAATAGTGTTCCTGACAGCATTGTATTTCAGCGTGAGGCTGAAGCATGAGAAGATGCAATGACGGGGCTAGATCTGCAATGCAGAAAACCCACAGGCTTCTCGGAGCACTTTCTTGAAGGGCAAATGGATTCTTCCTTTAGAATCAAATAGGCTTGCATTTCATACAAACCTGGTGTTACTTCACTGTAATTATATATTGTGAAACATGAAACTGAAGTTGGCTTTTCTTTTTTCACATGCAGAGTACTTGGTATCCCTGCTACAAATGGAGTTTGAGGCAGGGGGCAGGTGCATGTTGTTGTTCTGTTTTTTCTGTGTGGAGTGGCTCGAGGAGGGATGCCACGTCTATCCCAGGGGCTTAAACCCACTCGCTCTGCTGGGTCAGGCCCAGGTCCAGCCAAGCGCACTGTCCCGTCCCCAGCGATGGCCAGGGGATGTTAAGGGAGTCCGTGTGAATGGAGGCAGCCCATGGTGGCAGCCTCCTGGGACACACTTCCAGCCCTCTGCAGGCCTGAGACTTGTTAATGAAAGGCGATTTTGAAATCTGTACGTAGCAGCTCAGAGGGATGTTTCTTTGATGGGTTTGCAGAGGTGCCCTTTGCAGGCAGGGAAGAGGCCGGCAGCCACAGCATCCTGCAGCAACAACGTTCCCCGTTTTGCGCTGTACCACGTGGAGAAACATCTCCTGGTCAGAACCTGCCCCTCCGTGCCCGTTTCCTGCCCTGTACTCCCAGGTAAGGGGTGGTAAGACAAGAGGAAATGGCCTCAAGTTGCGCCAAGGTGGGTTTAGGTTGGACATAGGGAACATCACCAAAAGTGTTGTTAAGCTTTGGAACAGACTGCCCAGGGACGTGGTCGAGTCCCCATCCCTGGAGGTGTTTAAAAGACGGGCAGACGAGGCGCTTAGGGCCATGGTTTAGCGGTGGGATGGCAGGGTGAGGTTAACGGTTGGACTCGATGTTCCTGAAGGTCTTTTCCAACCTAAAGGATTCTGTGATCCTCCTTCCTGGGGACGTTACCGCTCCTTCCTCACCTTCCCTACCCGTCTGGCTGTTGTGGCGCTTATCTCTGGTGCCTGGGCCCCGAACCTGGACGAACACTGGACAAAACTCGCGCCTAGCCGGGGCTGCGGGGCCGGGGCCCCAGCTCTGCCCTCTCGCCCGCCCGGAGGCGGCCCCTTGCGTGTTATTTCACTGGGGAAAGACCATCGTGGCAGCGTGAGGAGGACAGCAGCCTTCCCTAGGCCGGCCTCGGAACAGCCGGGGCCGCGGCCCGCTCCGCCCCCA